GATTACTATGAAGTTGCACTAGGAGAAATTTGCGAACAGATATGTGAATTTATTTGGATGAAATCCCTAACTATTATGTTCACAAACTACCTTTAAGTGTGCGGCACCGTTCCCGTGGCACTTCAGGTGCCCGTGAGACTCAAAGACGCGATTGCAAGGGATACAACGCGGAGTCTCCTTTGCGTTGGCAACTTGAATGCGATGAGACCTAGACTGAATGTGGTCGTAAAAGGCCTTCGCACTATTGCCACTAACGCCGCACACTTTACAATACCGCTTATACCGCGGGCACACCTTACGATTCCTCTTGCGCTCACGCTTAAACTCTTTATCCGCGAGAACAGCCGCATTCCGAGCAGAAAGTCGATGTGTAGTTCTCTTTATTAGTGCGGGAACAGAGCGCAGAATACGAGGAATCCTATAAGGTGCGCAACTCCAGGACGGACCCGAAAGCGCGAGCCGAGGCGAAGGTTGATCCTCAAGCTCAAGCACCTCAACGCATACGATCTCCGATGTCCGAACCGTTCGACCGGTGACCAGCTTTCCAGGCGCAGAGCGCACCGGTACTAATTCCAGATCTAACACAACCCCGTAAAAACAGGTATTCACAATAAGGAATATGAAGATAATCGTCAGTAACAGATTTTGGAATTATTGCTCTTAAGAACCACCAAAACGTGCAAAGACAATCACTTAGATGTGTAGGAAATGGAAAGAAACTCAAAACTTACTTTGCATGAGAAAACGAAGAAAAACCAAATGCGAGATTGACAACGACGGCGGTAGCGGGAGCGGAAACGAAGACGAAGACCAAAGACAGAGACAGCAGCAAGAACCACAGCAAGAACAAAAGCCAAACCAAGAACGAAGACAACGAAGACAGCGGGGGCGATGACCAAAACCAATTCACACAAGAGAGCAAGAACGACAGCAGCAGCAAAAACCAAAACCAAGAACGACGGCTGTTAAAATAGTGAGCGCGCCCAAGGGGACACGAAGAAGCCAGCGCCTGTGGCTTAGTGGTTAACGAATTTTTGCGGCAAATTTTTCAGACCTCGATTTTAACATCACCAAGTACTTCATTACCTTCATAGATGATCACTCAAACTGGTCAGTAGTGTACCCTATGCACCATAAATCAGAAGCATTTGAACGATACAAAATGTTTGCACAACTTGCTCAGACTCACACTGGTCGCAAGATCATAGTGCTTCGCACCGATCGAGGTGGTGGGTATCTGTCCACGGAGTTTAAGTCTTTTCTGATTGCAAATGGTACTCAGCATCAAATGACGACCGCGTACACACCGGAGCAAAATGGCGTCGCCGAACGACTGAACAGAACTTTGGTAAACTTGGTGCGCTCCATGCTAGCGCAAAAGAAAGTTACAAAGGGGTTCTGGGCAGAAGCACTTGCCAATGCAGTGTACGTTCGAAATCGAGTCACGTCACGTGCCATTCCCCCCAAGATGACCCCCTACCACTTATGGATGAAATCTGTGCCAAATGTTGGTCATTTGCGTGTTTTCGGTTCAAAGTGTTGGTATACATTACCAAAACACAACATCCAGAAACTTGACGCCCGTGCAAAGGAGGCAATGTTTCTAGGGTATGCTGAAAATACGAAAGCTTACAAGTTGTGGGATGGTGATTTGCACAAAGTGATCGTATCCAGAGATGTTACTTTTGACGAGTCCACGGGAGGCAAATCTGGTGAACCGATGGAAACAAACGAGGAGACTACAACTCATGATGACACAATCAACTTGAACATCGATGAGGAGGTTGCAGAAAATGATGCAGTGGCATCAGAAGCATCATCGCCGGATGAACAACAAGACTCTGATGAATCCTCCAACTCCTCCCCAACTTCAGGGGAGGACAAAACCACCAAAACAGTTGAGCAACACGTAGTTGAGGAAGAAACGATTGATCCGCCAACTAATCTCCGTCGGTCCACTGGCGTTCGCAAAACGCCTGGGGCGTGGTGGGCAGCAGCTTTGGTGACTGCTGGACTCCTTAGCCACGCCCATGTGATAACGGAAATCCCAAACTCGTACAAGCAAGCTATGGATTCTCCAAAAGCTCGCTTCTGGCAGAAGGGCATCGACAAAGAACTTGCGTCACAACAGAAAAACAAAACATGGACACTTGTTCCAAGATCTCAAGCATCAAACGTCCTAACGTCCAGGTGGGTTTTCGGAGTGAAGCAACTTCCTGACGAGTCCGGAAAATTGGTCGAAACTGCAAAGGGACGTCTTGTGGCACGAGGCTTTCGACAAGTAGAAGGCATCGATTGCAATGAAACTTTCGCCCCTGTCATCAAGTTCACAACTATCCGTCTGCTGCTGGCACTGGTTGCGCACTTTGACCTTGAGCTGCATCAGATGGACGTGGTGACTGCCTTCCTCAACGGTGACCTTCACGAAGAAATCTACATGGAGCAACCTGAAGGATGCATCGACAAAGTCAAACCGGATTCGGTGTGTAAACTTTTGAAAGCAATCTATGGTCTTAAGCAAGCCCATCGCCAATGGCATAGTAAGATCGATGAGTTTCTGATCACTGAACTTGGTTTCAACACTACACGCAGCGACCCATGTCTTTACATTCGACGTCAAGGCAATGTCATCATGATTATCGCGTTGTACGTGGACGATCTGCTGCTAGCTGGAAGTGACTTGGAGGCCATATTATGGATGAAAAATGAACTCAACAAACGATTCGATATAAAAGACCTTGGCGAGGCAAAGACTTGTATTGGTCTAGAGATCGACCGTATACGTTCTAAACACGTCCTGACCGTCACGCAGTCGAAGTATGCCCAAGCAGTACTGAAACGGTTCAAAATGTCGGCATGCAATCCTTGCGTTACTCCGATGGAACAGTCTCGACATGTCACAATGCAAGTGGCCGAAACTGGAACTGATGACAACCCATGCTTTGAACCATATCGTCAGGCTATTGGATGTCTAATGTTCCTAATGGTCGGGACCCGCCCCGATATTGCGTTTGCCATTGGAAAGTTATCTCAACACTGTGCCAACCCTCACGAGTCGCACTGGTCAGGTGTGAAACGTGTGTTGAGATACTTGCGTGGGTCCCAGCATCTTGGAATAGTGTTTGGTAAAGATGATCTTGGTACGGAACTTCATGGGTATAGCGACGCAGATTGGGGTGGATGCCTTGAATCACGGAAATCAACGAGTGGGTACGTGTTCAAGCTTTGTGATGGGCCTATCAGTTGGGCTTCCCGGAAACAAACAGTAGTTGCAAAGTCTACTTGTGAGGCAGAATACATCGCATCGCACTCAGTGAAGCATACAAAGAGGCCGCGTGGCTTCGACGCTTCCATGCCGATGTACTTGGTGCAAATTCGGATCCAACAATTCGCGTTGGATGTGACAACGCTGGTACGATTGCGTTTGCTCAGAACAAATCTACAAATCGTCGGAACAAGCACATTGGTATTACGTATCATTTTGTTCGAGATGCGGTGCAGCGAAAACTGGTCACATTGTACCATTGTCCGACAACAGAAATGCCAGCCGATATGCTGACCAAACCACTTGGTCGCATGCTGTTTGAAAGGTTCGTGGGCACGGTTGGGCTTTCCGAGTGCAAAGCTGCCCAAAGCATGTGATCGAGGGGAGGTATTGAAAATGTGCGACCACATGCTGTTATCTGAAAAGGTCAAAATCGAGCGACACGTGTACATGACTCGACGGTCCGGACCCTCACCCCATATCACCACATGACACGTGTTAAGTCTCAGATTTTGGGGGTTCTGGGGACGAAAGTGGACTTTTGGACGGTTATGCAAATTTGCATAAATGCCGAAAATTTGCATTTGGCCCGAACCGTTATAGGGCTACACAGGCAATACTGCAAATCTATCGGGTGTCGGTTCGAATGCTGCAATTCTATTGGTCTGTTATTGTCCACTTATATGCACTCATGCTGGTGATATATCTTGAATCATCGGTATACGTTTTAATTACATCATTTCGGGGGATTCAAGTTGTTCATCATGGTTGCAATGGGTAATTACTTGTGGCTTTGGCGCTGGACACTTGTGTGCGGTGTACACATGTACACATCGCCAGGTTGCTGCGTGTACGTACACTTGTATACGTCGCCTACATACGGTCCGGCGCGTGTCCGAGCACAGTACATGTGAATTAAAAGTACAACAAGTATTTCTCGCAAGAGACATGTACTTACGTGAGTATTCAGTGTACGCGTCACGCTGTATGCGACCCTTGCATCAGCATGCGCCGTTGTACTACACTCTCGTCAGCATGCGACGTTGTACTGTGCTCTCGTTATGGTGCGCCGTTGGATGCAAGTTGATGACAGTACTCGTGTGATTCACATCGGATATCACGTGAGATGTGTAGAAAGTCTGGATGCACATTGTTGCTATCCGTGATAGTTGTCTGGCAGTGTGTACCGAAATTAGTAAGGTACGAAACAAGGGCATGTATGGGGACTGAGATATGACAGGACTTTGCGTTGTTGGAAATAGAGAGATGCCAAGTTGTTCATTGTGCAAGAATATATTCTGTCATGTCTGGATGCAGATTAGTAAGGTGTGAAACGATTGCATGCATAGGGCCATGGTTTACAGTCACTCGAAATGTGTAGAAACTGTTGTACACTGATAGTCAATAGTCAATTCGTAAGGTGGAAATAGAACAGTGTGGACGGGCCAGAAGAGCACCGCGCTTGGTCGCGCATATGGTGGGTACGGTTTACCAGGTGCCAAAGTAATAGGATAGTGTAACACTCAAAGTGTATAAGTATCGCCGAAAGACAGCTCCAAGTAAACCTCGGCACCAACTCCTTCACTCACACACATCAACCTGCCCTCCTTCTTTCCCTTGCCCCTCCGAACCTACCATTAGCCAGTCGCCCGTACTTGTCGGCAGCCGAGGGACCCTTCGACGAAAGACCTGAGTCGGCCTGCGTAACATCTCCTTCCATGTTGCTCCAGGGAGAATGGTTGCGTTCGTTGGAGCTTCTGGAGCGGGCAAGAGGTAAGTTTTGAATTACTGTCTACGGGGCGGTTTTGTGAAGGCTGTGGATGGTGTGGGAGACGCAAAAGTTGTCTTTGCAATTGCGGAGAAGCTAACATTCTTCTTGTACACGATTATATTTTTGTCGCCATTTGCGTGCTGCAGCACAATCATTCGGCTGTTGCTGAGATTCTATGGTGTCGATAGCGGGTCAGTGCTGATCGATGGCGAGAATGTGAAGAACTGTTCTCAGGAGTCTACGCAAGCAAATTGGAGTTGTCGCCCAAGATACGGTACGAAATTCTATCGCTCATGAGTGGAGACAAATGCGAGCGAACGAGGTGCCCTTCCATGTCCTGTAATACTAACAATGTGGGCTTTTCTTTTTTTCTTCTCGGCGCCTCTGACAATTACATTCAGATCTTGTTCAACCGATCTCTGCGATTCAATATTTCATACGGCAAACCAGATGCATGTGATGCTGAAATTTATGACGCTGCACGTTCGACTGCTTTGTGAGACTTCGTTGATTCTCTCCCGCTGAAGCTAGACACCCTTGTCCGAGAGCGGGGAGTGCGCCTATCAGGAGGGGAACGACAGCGCGTAGGGTGCGCCAGGTGTCTGGTCAAGGGACCAGCTATTGTTCTGCTTGACGAGGCGTCGTCATCATTGGTAAGTGCTGAGCACTGTTCTGAAAGAAATTTTTGTGGCACTTTGGCTATACGCGACACGCTGTGCAAGATCTCTGACCTCATTCTGAATCCACACCCCTCATCACCGCCCCGATGCACAGGACACGCAAACGGAAAGAGAAATGCAAGCAAACCTGCGGGAAGTATGCAAGAAACGAACCACGATCGTGATTGCACATCGACTGTCCACAATCATGATAGCGGACGAGATCATTGTCCTTGGCACAGATGGCGCAGAAGAGGGCTTTGGTACCGTTGTGGAGAGAAGGTCCCATGCTGAGTTGATACCGCAGAAGGGGTCATACGCCCAAATGTGGGACTTGCAGACGTCGTTCGATAACGGCGAGTTGTCAGAAGCATCCGAAGTCAAGGATTCGAAGAAGTAAGTTGCCCTCGAAAGCGGCGCGACTTTGCTCCATAAATACAGTTGTGGAATGCCAGAACCCCATATTTGTGCACATGCATGCCATCGCCTGTCGAGCAGCAGTCCTGCCGACAACACACAGGGCTAGAGCATATTGCGAAGTGCCTGCACCATGAAGTGAAGACTGTATTTTGAAAGTAATATTAACTGGCTTCTTCTACTAGGTACTTTGCTAGTCGTACTTCAATGTTATCCGCGTATGCACCTAGAAAGGTCGCCTCTTAAGCAGTAAAGCAGTACAATGTTGAAAAGATATTTGTGCGAATGATAGAAATACGGAGAAGGGTATATAGGAAGAATGTAGTAAGCCAGAGAATAGACGCGCCCAAATTCTCGTAAAGCTTGACGGAAATCTCGCATACTCCCGGTCGCACTAATACAGCTTCGATACAACATTTCTCGTACCTTCACATCAAGCCCGAGCGATGGTACACCTTCTTCTTCAAAGGCTACTGTGACAGTTTACGCACTTGAAGCGCATCGGTTCCTCTGACCTCTGGCCCTCTACACAGCCCATCAACCAGAGCAAGAAGTGCAAGCAGCAAAGTGGTACTGCTTTGCTGCACGTGACTTGCCCACCATCTTCTCGTCTCCACGAATACCAAGTTGACCGCCGAGCTCTAAATTCCACCCCTCGCCTCCAAACTCCACCTATACTATGGACTTGGACGCAAGTTGCGTGCAGAGTGAGTGCACTACGAAATGCGGAGCAGCATGCAATGCAAATTGCACTCACCTCGCACTCCAGGTTACATAGCATTTTCGGAGGGCCGTATGAGTGCAGGACTATCATACACTCATGCCGCCCTCTGGGTGCACTCCAAGTGCCACCAATAGGAAGTTGTGTGGCCAACAGCGGCAACAATTCGCGTTCACAGTGCACTCAAATATGCTAAAAATCTCAAATTGCACTGTAGGTGCACACAAAAAATTTAATTTTTTTCTTCTAGGGTATGAATCTGAATCTCTCGTGAGGTCCTGTCCACTGTCAATTACAACAGTGCACATTTTGCCTTACGAATTCAAAACTCGCCCAACGGTATCTTTGTGTCCTGCTGTACCCGTGCTGCACTCCATGGACGCTGTAAACCTTTGGCACGTGCCAGGCACCCGCCACCAAGGTTCCACACTTTGTCTGTAAGACTGCAGGCGAACTGTACGCGTCCGACAGTGTAATGAAGACATGTGTCCAGGTCATACACGTGTCGGGCGGAGAAAATGAAACATGCTCAGATTGTACAGTACACCGCAACCGTGTACATAATTCACACGTGTACACGTTGAAAACCAAACGTGCTCCTGAAGTACTGTAGAGTGCAGCCGTGTACAGAAATCACACGTGTACACCTTGAAAATCAAACTTGCTCAGCTCGTCACGCGGAGTGTTTTCATTTTACACGTGTCATACCTGTCGTCGTGTGTCATGCATATCAGTATGTGGTCGTAGAATTACAACAGAACAGCTGCTTTCCGAGCAGAAAGTCGATGCGTAGTTCTCTTTATTGGTGCGGGAACAGAGCGCAGAATACGAGGAATCCTATATGGTGCGCAACTCCAGGACGGACCCGGAAGCGCGAGCCGACGTGAAGGTTGATCCTCAGGCTCAAGCACCTCAACGCATACGACCTCCGATGTCCGAACCGTTCGACCGGTGACCAGCTTCCCAGGCGCAGAGCGCACCGGTACTAATTCCAGATCTAACACAACCCCGTAAAAACAGGTATTCACAATAAGGAATATGAAGATAATCGTCAGTAACAGATTTTGGAATTATTGCTCTTAAGAACCACCAAAACGTGCAAAGACAATCACTTAGATGTGTAGGAAATGGAAAGAAACTCAAAACTTACTTTGCATGAGAGAACGAAGAAAAACCAAATGCGAGATTGACAACGACGGCGGTAGCGGGAGCGGAAACGAAGACGAAGACCAAAGACAGAGACAGCAGCAAGAACCACAGCAAGAACAAAAGCCAAACCAAGAACGAAGACAACGAAGACAGCGGGGGCAATGACCGAAACCAATTCACACAAGAGAGCAAGAACGACAGCAGCAACAAAAACCAAAACCAAGAACGACGGCAAGAACGAGAGCGACAACGACAGCGAGAAGACCAGCCGAAACAACGACGAGAAACGGCAGCGAAAACGACAGCGACAACGACGGCAGAAACAACGGAACGAGAACGACATACTCATGCAGTGAAACGACAGCGAGGGACTGGGCCCATAACCTAATGGTAGGTTCGGAGGGGCAAGGGAAAGAAAGAGGGCAGGTTGATGTGTGTGAGTGAAGGAGTTTGTGCCGAGGTTTACTTGGAGCCGTCTTTCGGCGATACTTATACACTTTGAGTGTTACACTATCCCATTACTTTGGCACCTGGTAAACCGTACTCACCATATGCGCGACCAAGCGCGGTCCTCTTCTGGCCCGTCCACACTGTTCTATTTCCACCTTACGAATTGACTGTTGACTATCAGTGCACAACAGTTTCTACACATTTCGAGTGACTGTAAACCATGGCCCTATGCATGCAATCGTTTCACACCTTACTTATCTGCATCCAGACATGACAGAATATATTCTTGCGCAATGAACAACTTGGCATCTCTCTATTTCCAACAACGCAAAGTCCTGTCATATCTCAGTCCCCATACATGCCCTTGTTTCGTACCTTACTAATTTCGGTACACACTGCCAGACAACTATCACGGATAGCAACAATGTGCATCCAGACTTTCTACACATCTCACGTGATATCCGATGTGAATCACACGAGTACTGTCATCAACTTGCATCCAACGGCGCACCATAACGAGAGCACTTACAACGTCGCATGCTGACGAGAGTGTAGTACAACGGTGCATGCTGATGCAAGGGTCGCATACAGCTTGACGCGTACACTGAGTACTTACGTAAGTACGTGTCTCTTGCGAGAAATACTTGTTGTACTTTTAATTCACATGTACTGTACTCGGACACGGGCCAGACCGTATGTACTGTGGTGCAATGCGCCTGTTAGGCAGAGACCAAGGTCCGACGGTCCAACACAAACAACAGCAACAAAAACAACAACTGCCAACGGCACAGCGCTACGGAGTATTCGAAGCTCCCTGTCCTCTTTAAGCGGGTTTGCGGCCCGCAGTAGCTCGGATCCCTGATAGGGGGGGGGCAAAGAGAAGGGCCCAGCCCGGGATCGGTAAATGGTGGTACAGACTTGTAAAGGCGACTGCTCGACGAGTTCGGAGGGGTGTTTAGGTAAACCTGGTCCGATGGGTCGTAAATCCAATGCTCGAAGAGCGCCTTGTACACCTTATACCCTTGATAACGTCTTCGACGGGGACGTGGCAACGTAGCCCGTCGGGAAAGAAGAAAACGTAGCAGCGCTACACCGTCGTACTGCCCGACGGCAAAGTACCAACAACGGATCGGTCGCAACCGGATTCCGATGGAACCAACACTGAGAAAAGCACCACTGGTGCACCAACACAAAAGCCCGATGGCCAATGACGTCACGTTGCGGATCGCAATCCTACAAGGTGGGACCAACTCAAGATTAAGGGAAATTAGGATAGGGAAATAAAGGAAAATTGATAAGGAAAAAGGGGACCCCCGAGCGCAAAGGATAAAGTAATCTGTAGTTAAAGGGAATGTCTTGTGAAAGACGGACTTCAACCAAGGCGATATGAGACTCTGGCAACTCGGGTTCGTTGGGAAATAAAGGAAAAAGGAATGGGACCCCCGAGCGCTGAAGGATGCCGTAGGCTTAGGTGAAAGGGAGCGTCTTGGTAGAGACGGACTTCGACCAAGGCGACATTCAACTCCGGCAACTCGGGTTCGTTGGTAAATAAAGGGAAAAGGAATGGGACCCCCGAGCGCTGAAGGATGCCGTAGGCTTAGGTAAAAGGGAGCGTCTTGGTAGAGACGGACTTCGACCAAGGCGACATTCAACTGCGGCAACTCGGGTTACCTTTACTGACTTTGTGGTCAGAGGGCTAAGGTATATATCGCCCCGCCGGAGCCGCTACAGTAGCTCTCGGCGCTAGATCCTAGATCTAATCTAATGTTAAATAACTAATATGCAACTAGTTAAAATTAATAGTTAAAATAATAAAGTGAAATAATTTCCACTTTTGCTTGTCATACCCCATCATTTCCATTTCTTTTCACCCCCCTGTGCGGCCGCTTATTGCACTACATGTAGGCGACGTGTACAAGTGTACGTACACGCAGCAACCTGGCGATGTGTACATGTGTACACCGCACACAAGTGTCCAGCGCCAAGGCCACCCGTAATTACCCATTACAACCGTGGTGAACAACTTGAAACCCCCGAAATGATGTAATTAAAACGTATACCGAT